GGATGAGCGTTGTCCGCCTTTAATTATGCTAGGACATGAATTATCTACATGACAACAGAGCGTGACGTTCAAAATTACAAAAACAAAAAGAGGAAACCTAATACATGTTCGTACATTCAAGTCTCAACAAATGTCAAAGTGGTCAAGCCAGATGATGTATAATAGCAAACCCAAAAGTCTTAACCCCCATTTCATATGAGGGAGAAATGAGGCATACTGTCCCATTATAAAGCTATAAATCATTTTCCGTAGACGTCTGACAGCTTTTTATCAGATCTAACCTTTTCAAGCCTCCATTAAGAGTGCTAACATTTTCAACTCTGACACGTTTGCAGTTTAGGAATCTCACAGCTGATTTACTCTGGGAGGGGGGGCACGATGGAGTTTATGCTCATATCCACACAGGCTGTCCATTGTATTGGATTGTGAGGAATGGGGGAGGGAAAATAAGAAAACAGCGAGGAGAAGAACGGGCTCTGAATCTATTTATTCAACTCTACATTTGCCCTTTAATCTGCTACTACAGTGCAGAGTGGTGTTGTTGCTGAAAAGCATTTATGTGGCAAACAGTACATTCTGATTTACTCTATTGATTCTTTAATGGTACACAACTGCTGCATGAAGGGAAGTTAATGGCTGCCTGAATTCTTCATAATCTGACTAATAATTCATGGATTTCAGACAATCCATTTGTTCAGACATTTGCTGTTTGATAAGGCTTTGATGCTGTAATGTTAATGTTTGTATTTTTGTACAAGCTATGATGTATGACTCTCCTGACAATGAGGACCAATACTTGATCAATAGATCCATCTATAAAGTATCAAAACATCTCTGGTGTCATTTGTCCTCAATTTGAGCTAAACGGCATTTTAAAGACTCCACAGATTGACAATAACAAATGAATTAACTAAACCTCACAGGGACAAACATAGAAGCATTTTTTAAACAAGACAAAAAGCAGCGCTAAAAAAATACATGTGTATTATTTATACATAAATTCCTTAACCCTCAGAGCTATTATTTATTGTTTCTATTTGTTTTACTGCAGTGAGAATTGCCAAATACATGTCATTGTACTTTGTATGATGACAATAAAGATATATTCTAGTCTTATTCAAGTGTACACATATTCAGAAAGCCATAAAATAATTGTTCTTATCCAAATATGTTCAGGATTAAGTATTTAAAAAGATAACTAATCAGACAAATACAAGGGCAGAACTTCAGTGGCTGCTTTGTGAGTTATGGAAGGAACGTTGCCAACCATAATTGATTTAAGTACACCATAATCAAGTGAGGTGGAACCACACAAGAGTCCATATTTCATTACATGCTGTGTTTAACCTTACCCACTTCTCCTAAAACACACAAGAGGCTCATTATGTGTTTAATATTCACCAGCAGGTGAATAATTTTTATGCAACTCTGATAGTTGGGCGAGATGGATAACTCAATTATCTGAACATCCGTCAGAGCAGAGGGCTCGCTGGCTCTGGAACGCCACCAGCTAAGATTGATGGCTGCAAGACACCAATAGCTGCTGCTTCGCCATCTCATCCAGGCACTGGGCCTGAACACGCCGTTTGATTCTGCACGAAGATCGTTATTCTCTCAATTTCTTTCCTTTTTTATCTTTTTTCTTGTGAGCATTGTAGGTGAAGCGTCATTACCCCTCACTCCACTGAAGAGGGGTTCATTATGGGGTTAGTGTGTTGGCAAGACTATTGTTTGGATGATAAATGCAGTTGGTGAGGGCTTTAGAGGGAAAATTAGTTATGTTTTTTCTCTCTGTCTACAAAAACATGTCCCCATTGCTCACTCTGCAATGCTTGAGGGCAAACCGAGAACAATTAACACAAGCAATGGGTGAAGCAGCTCAGTTAAAGCAAAGAGGGAATTCATGAGAAATAAGCAAATCACTGGAAATGTCAATCAGGGGCAATGAAGTAATTACAAACACTGCTGTGCGATTCCAAGGGCAGTCAAAAAAGACCCAAAAGGTTTAGAGTCAAGCACTGAAATCAGTTTGAGGAATGAAGGAATGGACAAACACCCGAAAAATCAGTGCTTTAGGGCCCGTCTCATAAACTGAAACCAACTAATGAGAAGTGAAAGGAGGATGATGTCACCCCATCACTCTCTTGTACCCTATTTCTCTATTGGCCTATGTTTTCGTGACTACAAAGCGCTGACCCTAAATTCAACACACACACACACACACACACACACACACACACACACACACACACACACACACACACACACACACACACCACACACACACACACACATCACACACACACACACACACACACACACACACACACACACACACACACACACACACACACACACACACACACACACACGACACACACACACACACACACACAACACACACACACACACACACACACACACACACACACACACACACACCACACACACACACACAACACACACACACACACACACACACACACAACACACACACACACACACACACACACACACACACACACACACACACACACACACACACACACACACACACACACACACCACACACACACACAAGAGGATAATGCATAAGGTCTAACAATAAGAGAAGGATGAGGCCATTTCCAAATGTCAGCAGTAAATGTCAATTAAAAATTACAAGGTTGCTTGAAAAGGTAGGGTCTGAAGGGACTGACATTTTTTCTTTTTTGACACAACAATGTTTATCTGACCAGGCTGCTGGCTGACATGATGGGATCTACTTTGTCAGTTCTCTAATACACTCGGACAAGGCGGCCCCTGAATATCAATGAGACACCCGTGGGCAAATATGTAAGTCTAACTCTAACTGTCCAATCAGCCTGTTAGTATTCTGATAGTTCACCATACTGTATGCTTATGCCACGAGTAGCAACGAGGAAGACCAGACAGTCTGATGCCACCGATTCAAACCGAGAAAGAATGACTTGCACAGTAAAATATTTATAGAGACATGTGATCCTCATGTCATTATCCAATTAGCTCTTTTCCTTTATTAGATTTTTTAAAAGTTTGACTGACTGAAAAAGCTCTAATTTTGGATACTTTATCAAAAAATTGTCTGCCAATATTCTGGAGCTTTAGCAAATCCTTTTATTGTCACCAACTTTCTTAGTGACATTTCAATGAGACCTAACAAAGCTAGTAACCAAAAAAGACTGGCCCTTTTTAAAATCGCACCTCAGGGACTTTTAACAATAGAATAAAAAGGAAATAGTATTAAAAAAAAGCCTTTTTCTTCTCCAAGCAAATACAACTATCTTACTCTGAGAAAATAAAATGCACCATTGACTATGACCTTGACCCGATCCCCTTCATTTTAACTGCTCAATGATATTGGATTAGTCATCGGAAAATCAAACAATTTCTCTGCTGACAGCATCCAAGTTAAATCAGTAGGCCAGTCATCTATAGAGAGTGGCATCATTTTCTAAATGTGGAACCATTATTTTCTTTTTATTTACTTTTTGGTCTTTAAATTTGTTTTTAAAAAGGTATGGCTTAAAATACAGTTAATTTTTACATTATTTGTAGGATATGTGGAATTTTCCCTACATGTACATTGCTGGTTGAATTAACAATAAAGATGGCCTATGACACATTTTTTTGAATGAATATTGGATATTTATAACAGTTAAACCCTGATCAAGATATGTATTGTAACAATGCCAACAAAACCATTACAATTCATTAATGATAAACAGTTCCCCCTCCTGTGTTGTGGTTTGGACAGATCCAGGAATCTGATCTACATATCTGCACATGCACCAAGAAAACAATAATAAAAAGTCAGTGCTGGGGGTAGCATCCTCCTTGGGCTCTGGCACCATGTCACAACATGTCAGCTGGCCGTCACGGCTGAGGGGGGGCAGGGGCTTCAGCGATGCGGATGGAGGCAGTGTGGGCGGCTATTCAACTTGGTGACTGGAACCCCACACCAAGGGAGGCAGGGATGTGAAGACCACATGTGAGTGACCCCCTTCTCTCTGTGTGCCTCAACATATTATTTTTATTTAGAATAAAAAGCCAGTAGTAACAGTATTTTGCAAAATTGTTGGAAAATGGGTGGTGTTGGGAATAAGTATTAAAGGTGTTCTTCGCCAATATATTTACCTGCCATTTAATAGTGAAAGAGTTATTTATTTATTTAATGGATGGGACACTACAGGGCCTGTTTAGCCCTTCAACCAAGAGCTAGCCCACAGATTACTAAATAAAAAGGGGCATTACTTTACCCCCTTGTGAGCCTTAATAAAAGTTGTTGTTCTATGTTGGCAGAAAATGCAAGGATGGTTGGAAATGATGATCTCTCAAGAGACAATGAAATGGGTATAAGTTTACTGAACCTAATTCATTTCTAGCAGTGAGACATACACATTTATATGCATACACACGCCTCTGTTCCCTCCCCGGGTCAGACAGCAAGGCCTTGTTCCTGTCCAAAGGTTCTCATGACAACAGATGCAACGGATTAATGACCAACTTCCCAGCTTTCCTTCCAAAACAATGTGTATACTTTGGAAAACAATCAAGCTCATAGGCAGACCCTTTAGGCTGTTAAAGGCTCCAATGGCAGAATTGAATGTGGATGTAGTGTTGTGTACAGATGTACCACATGGAAGTGTGGGGTTAGTGTGGCCCATGCCAGAGAGGAAGTGGTTAGCTTTGTTTGACAGAGATATGAGAAATGAGATATGAGATATCTAATACTGAGAAAAAGCTGACTGTGGTTTGTGGTCAAAAAGGAGAAGTTATAAACAATATGCCAACTGGGGAATTGGGAATTGCAGCATTACATGGAAAGGTAATACCTGATTTAGACCGATAGTTCAGCTCCATTTAACTCACTTTTTGTACCAGGTTATTTTCTCCATTTAATTTTCTAAACTGCTATGCTATGCCGAATAAAACTGATGTGTCATATCAAGCAGCGGAAATGCAAATATGATGAGGCTGACCTGTTCCAGTAGCTCCAAAACTGTTCGTTGAGATAGGTGCGATGACTGTGGTCGTCTCCGAACGAGGCTTTGCTCTCAATCCAGTGAACAATATGTCCTTCGACGGCTTTTGAGAAACAGAAACACAGAGCAACACAAAGTAAACTCAGCAAATCAGTAAATACGGTAATCCATGTAAATCGTTGCTTTAACATGACAATATTAAGAGCACTTCTGTTGAAGACAACATAGTTAAGATTACAACATTTATTTAAGATAAAACATGGTTATATTATGTTAATACTTACCAATGGGAACCTCCAGGATGATATCAGGTGTTTTATCGTAGCCCATAACTCTTAGTTGGTTTTCATCTAAAGGAGATAAAGTGCAACATCAATGTGTGACTTTTACTTTGTAATAGGTTTTACTCTTCACCGAACAAATTCTGTTGCATCAGTCACAGGCAGGTAACCTCGCAGCCTTGACCAAGGTGCTGGTAACAAACCCTTTAGAAGAAGAAATAACAGTAGAGGACAGCAAGCACAGTAAAACCATTAACTACATCTGCCACGTATTCGCTGTCGTTGCAAAAAGAAAAACCCTGTAAAGCCCAGTTACAGAGCTGCTCTTCAGTTTGCAGTTTGGCAGAGCTTTATAAAATATACAGCAAAGGGACAAGGTTGGCATTATAGCCTCTGTAAGCATGACCCCTGCCTGCACAGGCCGCAGCCATTGTCCTTGACTTCTGGTGCGCTTCGGCCATTATCCCTACAACACCTGATTTCTCCATTAAATCTCAGGCTGACCAGGTCATTCAGTTCCAAGGGCCTGCCTCTTTGTCTCCAGCCAAGCTCAACTAATGGGGCATGGAAGGGAATTGAGGAGAGATGGAGGGTGGCGGTGTCAGTGGTGGTGAGGAGGAAGCATCAGCCAAGGAGAGAGAAAAACAACCGAGTGGGGTCAGAGAGGCTGCCAGAGGCCTGTGGTACTAGAAGAGCATCCTGGGTGTGGTAATGTGGGTGTATATGTGTATGTGGTGGGATGGTAGCCTCTATTCATACCTACTGGGCTGTTGACATTGTCATGTGGCTCTGATCGCCTTTTTACATCACCCTTGATTAAAATTAATGGGCCATCCCTGCTGTTGGGTAGCTTATTTCAAATCCATTTATCAGATGGGGTGAGTCTGCCTTTAGTGGCCCTGGTGCCTCCTGAACTCTGACAGTTTTAGAACAGTCCTTTGTAAAGCTCTGAGGAAAGGTCAGCACTCCAGGTTCAAATAAATGATATGGTCTTAATGACAGTGGGAATGACTTTTATCCTTCATCACTCATCTGACCTAGGGGATGGTGATGGGATGGGGGTGATGGGAGGAAGGTTCAAAATGTCTGTTTCACAATTTCACACCTGGACACTCTACCTTGATTTAATATTGTTGGAACAGGATTATGATTAAAATAGAAAGACATTAAGAGAACAAACATGTAATTGGTTAAATATTAGAAACTAAAACTACATAAGGAGTTTTTCATCTCCAAACTAGGGGTTGGATAGATAACAGCTCCTTGTTAGCAAATCAATAAGAGATAACATCCATAGCATCAGTCATGCACAGGTCTTCCTTCACTAAGCGTACAAAAAGGATACAATGCCATGAAGAGATGTGATGAGGAGGTCAAAAGATAGCTTACCTAGAAAGGAAAGGTTCCTCTCCTTTAGTTTTTCACAGAGCAGCACCTCATGTTCTTGGCCAATAGCGCTGAGGAAAGAGAGTCAAGGATTCTAACATATAGGGAAAGAGTAATACTATTCAGTGAAACACCAACACGTAATAGTGGAGCCTCAGCCGGGGTAAGTACATGAAAAATAAATTAAAAGTAAATTATAAGAATTCATACAAGTCGCTCACTAACAATATTCAATTTTATCTGGAAATGGGTAACCACAAAAAACACTGATGTTAGCGATCATTCAACCTCAAATTTGCATGTTTATGCTTGAAATCAGTTAAAGTAAGGAATATGCTTTACTCCACTATTGGCTTACTATGCAAAGTGAAAGCAAATTCTGTTTTTGCCGATGTATAGGGAAAGCACAATCAGAGTTTTTAGGTCAAACTTAATCTGCTTTCACAACAAATCTCCAAAGTGCATTACCTAAATGAGGAAGAAACAAATGCCAATTTGGCAAAAATGTATAGAGCGCCTGCACAGGCCACTCCACTATTTCCTCTACAATCTTGGAAGTAAAATGCTTTTAGAATAAATGCCATGTTGCATCAGGATGCATGCTGCTTGATGTCACAGAAAGCAATACAGCAAATACAGAGGCCGCATATCATATGCAAAACTGGCTTTTTACCAAGAGAAAAAGAAAAGTTCTAATGCAATTATCCTGCCCTCAACAAGCACTCTGAGTACTCCCAAGATGGATTTTAATTAATAAATATATATCGTGATTGGCCCAAATGCATTAAAAGCCATACCCCTGATGTGAGGATGGAGCTCTTTCAAATAGCAAATAGAGGGGCGGTTCTAATGAACTCTGTGTGGTGGAGTAACTGACTCTAAGTTGACGCTGACAAAAGGACAGCCAAAGGAAGGTAAAAAGGGGGGACGTAGAAGGAGGGCACGGTGGGACAGGGTTGACTGGATATGAACAGAACAACACAGCCCGACCACCACACACCAAAGCTTGGAGAGACACAATAACATACAGATGAACCCATGTACACACATTCAAATAAGTCTCCTCCCCCAGGAAATAGTTGGTCTGCTACCGAGCTGCTTAGCCCTGAATAGCTTTCACTCTGAGCCTGCAGTCAAGGCCTAGCCCCTGTTTGATAAGGAGGGGGTGTTTGTGTTGATGTATAAAAAGGGAAGGACAACACTGGAAAAATAAGGAGTAATTCGATTACAATTAATATCAGAATAAAAAAAGAAAGAATTGATTGATCAATTAATAGTTCATATTGGACTGATTAGACACTCTCCATGGCGCTGAATGTAATTATAATGTTAAAAACTAAATGCAATTCAATTGAAAAGTATTTAACAAACTGCAAGTAACATCTCTCGGTATAAAAATAAAAGGTTAAATAAAATACCAAAGAAATGAACAAATGTCCAATACATGGAGCTTATGAATGATAATTTGTTCCCTGTATCATAGAACATTGGGTCTGATTCACTGTGTGCACATGGAGATGCATTTAGATCAGCCAATCCTCTCCTCCTCCTCTTCCCTCCATCGCCTTCCAGCCGCTGTAGCGGTGAAAGTGGGATGGCAGGCAGGATGAAACACTTCCTCTGTGAAGCAGAACTTTTATGTCAGGTGAAGCCAGACACATCCCATCCCCTTCAATAGCTCCTCGTCAATTTCAGGCTTAACATTTTATGGGATAGGATACTGTTTGATGCAGTCTACCAGTGGTCCATAACAGCAGTCATTTATTGTGCACTGAAAAGAGGGGGAAGAAATATTATGGCGTGCAAAAAGGGTGGGTGGGTGTAAGGGAGGTGGTACAGCGGCGGGAAAGGAGAAAACACATGAGATGCTGGCAGATTGGCAGGCATGACCGCCGGCTCTCACGTGACCTCATCAGCAAACATGAGCGGCTGATGCCGTCTGTCAGCCAGGTGGTACAAAAACACTGAAAAACTCACTGTACCTAAGCAGGAGATTTGTTACATCGACAACAGCGACTAAACCTATCAGATTTAATTGAATAATTAAAAATCATCCCATGAAACAACACAATTAAGACGATTATAACGAATATTTCAGTTTATATTTAAACGTTACACTTACCTGGTAAATGTTATTCGCCAACATTTGGTCTGGAATCAAGGATGGCTCTTTAAGCATGCTGTTCAGGACTATTTTAGAGGCTGAAACCAGAAAAAAGAGATAAATTATTACAAAAAAATTGTATAAATATATATAAAATATTATTAAATGTATGCAAATCACATCAAAGATCAGCGCCTATAGTCTACGAATGCAACAAATACATTATAGCTGAAAATATACAGGCCTAAAAGACAGACTTCACAAACAATAATTCACCATGCCACTGTTAGTGCAAGATTTCCTCACGAGTCCATTAGATGGCTGCTTGGTGTCTATACAGATTTTCTATAGATAAATGTTTCAGTCCAGAGCACAGAAGCCCCATGTAGTTTATCTATGTTATGAACGCTGACTATTCTGCATCTCTCATCCCCATTCCAGCTCTACTAACATTATAAATCAGGAGGGAAAGCCTGCTGGATTGATTCGCTGGTACTGCAACAGCAAAAAATTCCTTAAATCATTTCTTAAAAAGATTTGGATTAAATGGATTGTATCATTGTGTGACGAAATGGTTGAGGCACGCCATTTTAGTGATACATGGTCCTGACAGACTTGCAGCATTGCAGACACTACAAGGAATGTTTCTATTCACATTTCAGGCATGGATGGTGCCTGTACCAACACTGCACTGATGTCTCCAAGCTCATCTAATAAACTGCGCACAGCATATAAAACAAGACAGCTTATTTGAAATGTATAAAATGGGTTTTAAAAAAAATGGTGTTGAAAAAAAAGATAGAAAATGAAAAAGACTTGGGCGGATATTTGTAAATGCTGATTGGCTCAATCATCGATTTCATGAATAGAAATGCATTTAGAGGAATATTAATAAAACAGTCTTTTTAGCCCCGTCTTTGAATTTATTTTATTGGCATTACTCCTTGAGAGAACTATCACAGAGAGCACAACCAGTGCTGTGATCCCATCTACCTTATCATGAAATAAAGAGGGAGGAGGGTGGGAAAAGAACAAAGCCCATTCAGCACTCCCTCCTCTCTTTCAGTTTCTTCTTCTTCTTCTTTGTCTCCATCTTTCTCTGCCACCTTTTATTTCCCTCTGTTTCAGCCTCTTCCAACCACGGACGGTACTCCCCCAGCCCACCCCATAACCTCACACTCCCTCTTAGAGCTGCAAGGCACAGGGCTGTGCTTTATTTCTTTGCTCATTTTTCTCAGAGATTGGTACCTTCACACGCAGATCCATACCATGCTCCTGTTCAGTGCGGGCGGCGGTGAGGAAAGAGGGTTATATTTTCCCCTTGAGTTAGGACACCTCATGACAAATGATAATGGATAATCAATAAAGCGGGAAATATGAGGCAGCAAACTTTATGAAGCCAGGAGACATATTACTCCCCAACAACACTGGTTTCCCTTAACAAAGTCACTACTCGACTGTGCCTAATAATCTGAAGGAAAATCAAAGGACCTGCAACCACATCAGCAATATTGGCAACTTATTCCACTTTAATGGCATTTTGATTGATTTTTTCCCTCTTCCTAATGGTCGTTTTATAGATTTGACGCTGCTTCTGCAAAACAGTAGTGTGTAATAAACCTCCCTGAAGGCAAACGGCAGCCATTAAAGCTCTTGTCTTACTAGCTCTCATAATTGGGGGTTTGACCACCACCACATTTTGGTCTCTCACATAACACACACTTTGAGGTCTGGCTTCCTTTCTCTCTCTCCTTGTCTCTCCTGCCCTTTGGTATTGTTGGTAGATGGCCATAATAAGTGATAGGATCCCTTCCTCCTGCTCTTTCTGAGCGATGGGGTTAAAAATAGCCATAAAGAGGTGACCTTGGCACTGACATTGTGGAATTTCAGCCAAGCATTGACCTGATGAAAATGGAAGGCCAGGCTGCTAATAAATCAGGATGCTTTTAAAATGAGTTTACCCTAATGCCCATTCATCACAGGCTGTAATGCCATTTGCAGGCCCAGGATTCGCTGCTGTGCACAAACACAGCAGTAAATAACAACAGGGCCCTTGCATCCCTCGCATCGCTGCAGCCTCCAACATCAGCATACATTTATTAAAGACGCCCCCGCCTTGCACGGCAGCACTCCTCTATGACACCCTGAGCTCCTCTCTGCCACACACACGCGCCGTGCTCTTTAAATACACACACTCAAGGCACACAGTCGCACACATAAAACACATGCAGGAAAATAAAAAGCATAATCTGAAGAACACCAGACACAGAGAACAAAGCCCTGCAGCGCGACTTTGCACCTTGTAAACATTCGCCAAATTTACAGTAATTGTCCCATGCTGGTATAAATTCTGACTAGGCACCGTATCACACCGTCAACATCTGAACCGGAAAGAACAGAGAGGAGGAGAATAATAGATCTGAAACGCTACGCCTCCATTGGGATTCGCTAAAGAAAACAACCAGTGTAAACAAATCACAGGCTGTTTCATATGCAACTCCAGAACAACGTAAACTATATAAAGCAAGGTAACAGCAACATAACCTTGCCTTGATTTCTTATTGCGTACTTGTGTCATTTGTAACTACTCTTCCTTTCTCAGCGAGGGTGAAAAAGTCATTATCTCAAACACAAAAAAATGTTGCGAAACCTCATTAGATAGCAACATTTGTTGAGGGAGGACCGTAATAAAACAATAACGGATGAGGATTCTTATTGCCCCTGACACTGATGAGCTCCTCTGCAAGTTTGTTTATTAATTAAAAAACCCACTCTTTTCCACGGGTGGGGGGGCACTTATCCATTTCCTCTAGAAACACACCCCCCCCCCACCATACTCCCCATGCACAAGCCATTGAGCTGTGGAGGGGCACTCGTTCATCAAACTTCATGGAGCAAGGGAGAGACAGGTCCTGATAATGTGCGCCGCTAAAGCTGATTTTCCATGATGAATCTCGGAGCATATAAATTGGCTAATATCTGAAAACATTTACAGATACTAGAGGAATTGACTACTTGTGGGACATGATGGATGAGGCCCTGCGACGCTGGCCGACAGCTCTGCAAATCTCTGCGGCTGCCTAAAGCCCTCATTTGATTTTCCAATTTACTCCTTTTAAATTTATCCTCCCGCATTGAAAAAAATAACAGAAGAGGGAAAGGGAGACGGCGAAAGAGAGAGTGGGAGATGAGAGGAAGGGGGGGGGGGAAAAACGTGTTTTCTTTTTAAGTATCTGTGGTGGTGTGTAGGTGCTGGTTGATGATACGCCGTGGTATCTCTGTGCAGGAGGAGCCCAGTCCCTGAAGAGGTTACTGGGGCAGAACTGATCTGCTTCCACCTGATTCTCCCTGATAGCGGTGAGATGAGACTCTACATTTCGGTGTGTGTGTGTGTGTGTGTGTGTGTATGCGTGTGTGTGGCAGTAGTAATAGTATATCTGGGGAGGCTCTGCTATGGAGAGAGGCTTCCTGGGTCAGGCCATTAGAGGCTGACTGGAGCTTCTCTGCTGAAAAGGAGTAATTAGTATACTTGTCAAGTGAAGTGCCACGCTGCTGCTGCTTACCTCCCTTGCACCCAATCCCTGCATGCATACACACACAGACACACTCATCCTGCCTTTACCTCCTTACTCCCTCCCTTCTTGCTAATGAAGTGCCCTTACTCTCATTATTTGAAAAAAAGGCTCTACCACAGTTAAGGGGTGAGGGAGAGAAGTGAGGAGCACTTGAAGACAAGAGCGGAGCAACCATAACAATCATAGTGGATACCAAAGTTGAGATTTGACTGGATAGAACATAATACAATATTCAGTTATCAACACGTCTGATCTGCAAAACACTGAAGCTATTACGAATTCTGTCAAGGAACCAAAGGATCATAGTAGACACTAACATTCTCACAGTGTTAACATCAAACGCAGGACATTTATAACCTTGCGTACAAGGCTTCGGTAAAGGAATGTGACAATAAATCTTAAAGGCGGTCGAATCACATAGTTACAAAACATGGAGCAGCAATCTAATCTGGAGCTGGGCCTTGGGAAAATGGAAAAGGTCAAATAGCTAGCAAAATTGCCTCCTCAAAAAAAGTATGTCTAAATCTAGAGGCACATCAACTCCTGTCAGTGGAGGGATAGAGAGAAAGATGAAGAGATAGCAGGAGATGGAAAAGAAGAGCAGGAGCTCCCCCAACGTGAGGCTATACGAGGTAGTATCTACCAACAATTACAATACAAGAGTTTACAATTGAATCCTATCATTTACAGAATGTATCAGTGGGTTGAGACACTTTCTGTGTGCACGTGTAATCAATTGTATGTAATCTGAAAGGCATATAAAGACATTTTAGATATATTTTCTGTCAACATGAACATTTTAAATAGGTCCAAAATATATTATATCGTTCAATTAGAGTTAGTACATCAGTTAAGTCGTTGCGGTCATAACATTTGGTGCATTTCTATTATATCATTAAAGAGGGTTTTGGGTTCAGTTGAATTCAATGTAACTGTATTGCCACTATACATATCAACTTTAGTACATATTTTCGATTTAAAGACATTTATACATCTTTTGTAATAATTCATTTGAACACATCACAATGACAGATTAAACTGTAATGCAAACATATATTTAGCTACCTTAGTTATATTTTATTATCATCAAATTCAATAAGTTCCTAAAGTTAACTTAATTGTCATATCCATGTGGCCCATTCAAGACATTAATCTGTTGCCAACAACCCTGAGAGGCATTCTGGCGTCCTCATCAAAGCTGTCTCACCTGGTTTAGAATACTGTATTTTTTCCTAAAAATTGCAGCTTTTAGTGACCTTAAAATAGTGGATATAAACTGTGCAAAAGTCCACACGTGACCTTTCCTCCCCTACTGCCCAGTCTGTTTTCACGAGACAAGGAGCATTATGGATGTTGATATCATATTCAATACGTGATAAAAACTGCTTTGAATGTATTGATTTATTTACAAGCACCACCAGATAGTCTTTCATTCTGCTTGACTGATGCTCTCTACAATATGTCTGCTGCAAGGAGAGAGGAGGGGATGCAGCTTGTTGGTGGTGTCATCATGTTAAGGTGTGGTGGTGGTGGTGTGTGAAGGGAGGGGAGGCAACAACAAGCAAGCAAAACAAAACAAGGAAAGGAGAGAAAACAATTTAAAACTCTGTATTGATCCAGCACTAGTGATTGTACATATATTCCACAGTCCCAAAGGCCCCATTCCTGTGTCTCTTGAATGCAAAGGGAATACAAAAAACGATGGTGCTAGGCAAAGGCAAGCCACTCACCCAGTTGGGGGTAATGTCCCTTATATAGAAGTCTATTGATCTTTGCAATGTGCCTGCTGGCCCTCCCTCTGGAGTCAACAAAAACAACACCAATACACACACACAGGCACACTGGAGTGCAGTCTGGGTCTGGAGGGGGGCATGACGGATATACCTGACAATAGCACAGGACCAACCTGTGAGCTAATTGCCAGGAAAGACAATTATCCTTGCTTTGTTTAATAATGGAAACACATTACTGGAGTCTAATATACACAGAGGGAGATAGGACGATTTGACCGCACAACCCATGTGGACAGCAATTAATTTGCAAAGGCCAAGCAGGTCATTAGGAGATTGCAGAGGAGAAAACAAGTCACCCTGAAAGCAACCGGCTTCACAGCTGGTAAAAGTGAAAAAAGGTACAGTATAATGACGTCAACATTTGAAAGGTTTTATTTAAACAGCAGGTAGGATTTTACCAGATTAACGTAGATGTTAATCGGATCTAAATCACTTTTCTTTCACAGCGTGCAGGCTTAGTTATGCTGATTTAGATCTATGATTATCTTGTAAAAGCCATCTAGCTTCTCTGACATCACTGTACAAGAAGAAGAGCCACAACCATGACATTACTCTCAAGCCTGCAAACGCTGTAATACTCCATGGTTACAACACTGTTTTGAAATTAAACAACGATGATCCGGGAAGTTTTGTCTGCTACAAATCTATTGTGAGCAATAATAAAGCCTGTTTTCACTGTATGGAGATGGAGGGATGCAGTGTGCTATTATCTGAGACCGAGTGCTTCCCCTGGATGAATGCCCTGTTCTACAAGCAGCTCAGACTAGTATTTTGACAGGCAGTGGATAACGGTGGGTCCAAAGCAATCACATCTCTGACTTTGACAAATGGCTGTGCTGTGGCGAAGTTGAAAATAACACACATCCACTTTAATCTCTTTCTTGATTAAATTGAAATCACGTCTTTTTGACATCATGCGATTCACTCTCAAAGCCCTGGCTATCGCACAGACACACACAATCTATTGAAATGTTATGGAATAATATTTGCATGTGATATTAGATATTTATTTTACTGCAAATGTTTCCAGTATTTCTGCCAAAAAACTATTACACAAGATATAACAAAACTCTACACACTAACAGGAATGTACACACACAATTATTCACACAATTTCTGGACAATCTCTTTGACAAGTTTAACACAAATATTTGCATCTGGAGTTTTGTTTTCTCACAGAGTGTTCATCAGCGCTACCATTGTGTGCAGTGTTTTGCAGAGGTGTGCAGTGTTTTTAGTTTGAGTGCAGGGAGATGCCCTGACAGGTAAGGGAGTACTAATGGCTGATACCGAAGGTGTATACTTGACTTCATTCTTATGCCTTCCCGGTCATTATAAACAAATATTACCAGGAGATTGTTCAAATGGTACTGGAATGGTACTGCCACATTTTCCTTAACTTAATTTCCTCAGAGGACCCCAGTAGAGATGGAGAAAGAGAAGGAGATGAAGGAGGAAGAGAAGGTAGGGGGGAGATGGATGCATTGGGGGATGAAGGAGGGTGAGGAAAGAAATCAGGGGTGTTATAAATAACACTGATGAGGTGAGCTAGAATTGATCCAGACTGCAGTTGAGAGGTGGGTGGTCCTTCCAGTGCTTAATTGCCAGTCATGTGCCCTGGGATGCAGCTAGCACTAAATGTGGTCTGTCTCTCATTACGCTCGGACAGGCTGAAAATACAGCAGCAAGAACGGGATTTGGGACTCAAACAGAAAGGGATTCAAAAGACAAAGTGCTACAATTAAGACTGATGGGGGGATGATAGAAAGGATGGAGTGAGAAATGGAAAAGTGTTACTCACGCACTCCACCCTCGAGGCCCTGAAGGAACCTGTCCAGGATGATACGAGCCATCAGTGCCGGAGACAGATCCGCCTTTACATAGATTGAACAACAAAAAGAGAGAATTTGCCTTAATGAAAAACCAGGCTATGCAGAGTTAATGCTACTTCAAAACAGGGGTATAGTGGCAATAGTATTCCTCTCTTGAGAATTACTCCATTTACAAACCTTCAGACTAAATCCCACATATCCAGTTGGAAGTGCGAACACATTTCAAAGAACCTAAGAATTACGGCGCTGAAATTACACCGCCGGTCTACTTTCGGCTGATGTCACATGGATAATAATGATTGTAATGGCTTTAAATGATATTATTGGGTTTTCAAACCTTGACCTAACTTTCGACAATCTCTGTGCAAATTGGTCTTTGAAAGCGTTGCTGTGCAATAACCTTTCCCACAGGAACAAGAGCTCGCCAATTACGCAGCCAAGCTACCAAGCTGAATTGCCTTCGCCTCTGTCAAACGGACAACCGTAGTCTCTCATCTGGAATGAAAAAGCTGCAGACACTTTGCCCGAGACAGAGACTATGCAGAGCTTTAATCATAGGATGATCACTAAGGAAAAACTTCAGACACCAACAGGACACACTGGAGGGACTGTGGGAATGCAGCCCTTAATGGGAAGAATAGAACCTGTGGCTGCAGCGCTCTTTGAACACAAAGACACCTCGAGAGGTGTTGAGGTGTGCAGTGTTTTTAGTTTGAGTGCAGGGAGATGCCCTGACAGGTAAGGGAGTACTAATGGCTGATACTGAAGGTGTATACTTGACTTCATTCTTATGCCTTCCCGGTCATTATAAACAATATTACCAGGAAATTGTTCAAATGGTACTGGAATGAGAAAACAAAAGCTAGTATTTATTTTATTATTCAGTTCAATTAACAGTAGGGATGCATACCGGCATCCGGTATTACCGAAATACCGGTTAATGGTGGCTACGGTATACCGTACCGAAATCAGATCCGGTTTCAATACTTTAAAAAAAAAAAAACTTATTTTTTTTAATTTGTATTAATTAATTTTAAAAGTGAGTCCGTGGCCCGTGATGGCGGGTGTTATAAATTAGATTGCATAATCGTTTTTCTTCATATTTTATGTATTTTTCATTGTTTGTTCAATACTAGAAAGGTAAAAGTCCCATAAAAAGGACTGTGATGGGATTTGTTTTCTCACCAGTGAAGGTAAATGTTGATTTTAAAGATGAGATTTGTTGTGATCTCATGACCATTATTCTATTATGTATTTGTTCTCTAGTCGAATCTCAGGTTTAACATTAATTATAACGGTCTGTTTGCATTGACAAGATGTGCTATTCACGCGGCACACCTGATGGCGGGTGTTATAAAAGATATTCCATCATTGGTTTTCTTCATATTTTTAATGTATTTTTCATTGTTTGTTCAGTGCTAAAAGGTCCAAGAAGTCCCACAATTGAATTTAATATTCATTTGACATGTTAACTATATCGTAAAGCGCTTCATGGGAGTAATTGTGGGATGATACATTTTCAAAGTATCACGATATGTATCGGTTGAGTATCGGTATCGTTCAGTGGTATCGGTATCGTAAAAAAGTCAACGATACAGTATGCATCCCTAATTAACAGGCACTACTCATAAAATGCTCCAAATCGTCAGAGTGAGGAATTAGCTTCAAAAAGGTAAACCAAGCATATGGAGCTAATTCCTTTTTCTAAGCATTGCTTTTTATCTGCTAAACATTAAAGACACATTAAGTCATTTATTGCTAAATTGCACAACCTCTTCAGCATTGAGGGAATTAAAACATTGCTTGAAGACAAGACATTTCTAGCCAGCTTGTTATGAAACACAGCTAGAGATCATTTTTTCTCTTGTTAGCATAATTGGGGACCAGAAGTGAATTTGCCCTCAGCCTGTAGTAAGAATGGTGCGTTTCATCTTTTCTCTGATGCTTGTTGGTAACGATGGGAGCAGAGAGGCTTCTGTCTAAAAACAATGTATTTTTACCCGCAGAAGTATTTGTTAACGTCTCCATAATATTGCACTAAAAAGGCCAAACATGTCGTTAATAATTAAGGAGTGAGCACAGAGTTTATATCTTCATTAAGACCTCTGTTAGCGTTTTAAACTTAGCTTTTAGCTTGAAGCTCTCTTTCCTCTCCCCAACCTTTCTAATTTCCTCTCCCTTTCGTCTCGGCTCTCAATTCTTTCCTCTTTGTGCGTAATAGTCTGCGCTCTATACACATTTTTGGATGATGAGCATCAGATTCCTGGTAACCTGCATCAGGGCTGACACATGAAAAATGGCAACATTACCATCGCTGGCCCAGACTGAATAAGGACCACCTGATTAGTTCAGGTACTTGCATCTCCCTAATTTTCATATTAATCATGAGTCTCCATTCTCAAGTCAGGGCGCAGCACTTCATGGGTTTAACATGTGACTAAGACTCACCAAACCTTTATTTCCTGCAGATAACAATTATTGTTTAGTTAAACTCCACTTGTATTAGCCCCGTAGGCTAATGGCTGTCACGAGAACAGTTGTGTAACTGCACTGTTCTAAACCCCTTATGTTTAAGTAACCTTTACATAAAACTTCATATACAGCTTGCAAAAACACAGCAAATGTCGGGCTTAGAACCCTCATTTATGGAAGACTTCTCGGGCAAAAAAAAAGAAATCCATGAATAGTTTTCATCATTGTTAATCATTTCCCTCTGTTGGAGATATATTGTCTCATAAAGGGATGAAACTACATCAATTAGCGGTCTGGGAGACCATGAGTGCTTGGTTTAAATGTTAAGTAGCATATTAAAATGACAGTTAAATGGTTCATAGACAGTTATCTCTGAGCTGAATTTAATCCTTTGGAAGAAAAAAAAATCATGTGTCAATTAAATGGAGAATGAATAATGGCAGTTAGCTTTGAGGTGCCGCTGATGCATGTGAACTACTCATTTTAGATTAAGAAACCCTCAAATCCAGTTGCCTGGTATATGAACCAATACAGATTAAAATGTGAATTTAAATGTTTTAAAAGCTTACACAGTCTACATTCAGTTCTAAATATCACAATATCAAAATTGCCTGACTAACAATGGGATGTAATGACAAAATAAGAAATAAATCAGTATCTGAATAATCTAAAACATATTGCATAAATAATCATTCAGCAACATAAGCTGCTTTTTCCATATTTTGTTCACAGAAGAGAAACTGTAAATGATTTAGTATTACAACAACAATTTACTTATTAGGTCCAAATGTGAGAAACACTAGGGGTAACTGATGGATTAGTTTGCACTAGAGTAAAATGCAGAAACTTGATCATGTGAATAATTTAAGTGTTGTTTTATAAAAACACACAAAAATCACACCACTATTTAATTATTGTACCAAGTTCACATGCAATTATACGTATGAATAACATTTTCTGCATCAACCAGAGAACCAATCCTACCCTGACCTTTCTAAAGCAAACAGGTGGTGAGGTGATGAAGAGAAGAATTAACCAATGACCCGGCCCTCACCTGTCCGCAGTTTGCGGCAACTCTGCCTGAAGTGCAATTTGGAAAATGACCTAATAAAACACAACAAGTATTTTCACATCTGCTTAATGGAGGTGAGGGCTAATTACATTAAATAATTGATAATGGTGTGGACCAATTTACCAATTTTGATAATGACTAACAGACTACTGAGAAAATCTCAAACTGCAGCCAATTTCTATCTATCCATTTAAAGGAAAAAGTAGGCATCAATTGAGGATTTTCCTTTTGAAGATAAGAAAAGAGAGACAGAGAACAAACTAAAGGTTAGGCCATTACCTCATTGGCCAACTCCAGCAGGACGGGGGCAGTGGGATGTGCCTTGGCTTCACTCAGATACCTTCATTATAACAAAGAACAACAACAGCAGTAAAAAAAAAAACATGGCCCACAAAGGCAGACAGAAGGGTAGAGGGGACTAGACCAGGCTAGCCAAGACATGCTAATGTCCCTGATGACTCTGCCCTAGGTGGCATATGGCAGGCTCAGTGCGGTTAAAACAGCACTGCTTGAAGGGCTTCAAATTTCCTTGAAGCCAGATGATGGTGATAGTTAGTTAACCCCTGCCGCCCAAAAAGCCTTTTTTCCCTCGCCAGCTAAAACAGCAGCTCCCCTCTGATCCTACCCAGATCATGTCTGAGGTTTGTTGTTTTAAGTGGATTAGAAGTGCATTATCCAGTCTTGTTTACCCCAGGACAATGGCCTAATATGCTAGATAAAGGCTAATTGCAATATGCAAAGAGGTTTTCCCCCTACAGCCTGTTTTTATTTTATTTTTTCTTTGAATTTGTCCGTATTCATTGAATTACAGATAATCATCCCGTCATAACCCTGAGTAAGGCAAATGTCTAAAGCCCGGTTATTTATTTATTTTTCTGCTTTCACTTTGACATGCAGAACAGAGCTTAGCAGGTGCAAGTGGAGGTCTGGAATGAATCCTGAGGGTGGTGATTTGTTTGGGGAAGATTATATCTGTCACGGTGGCCCACCTACTCTCTGACTTTAGCGAGTCCATTCCTCTGTCACAGAACAGGGAAGACAAAGAGAGCACACAAGAGTGGGAGAAAGATACAACAAAAAAGAAGTGAAAGGGATAGAGATGTGAAGAAGATAAACAGACAGGGCTTGACAGAAGGAATAAGAGCAATAATGTAATACAATACAAATAAATACAGTACCTTTGGTAGTGGCTTTCAATAGCATCTGGTGCATGGTGTCTTGAGATTGTTCTTTTGATTCGTTTCTATCATAAAGAAAATACTGGTTATTATTCAAAAATAAATAATAATAATAATATTAATAATAGTTATTTCCATACATTCATTATTTCAGTGTGTTATTTTTCCCATTCCACCTGAATAACATGCAGACCTGTTCAGCCTAGGTTCCTCCCTTCATGCTCTGTTGTATATGAACAAGCGTAATAGATCTTAGGTCAAAGTAATTTAATTTCAATAAGTTTGCTAGGGGTCAAAGTGTGCGAAGGAAAGCTTGTTCAAACCCCCATCCCCCCCGCTACCCCCCTCACTCAAACCTTGTATTCATTTCCCCTTTTTCGATCAAACAATGACCTTATTTCAGATTCCACACCCTGACATTTCCCTGCAATTCAATTGCCATCTTCGGCGAGAAGGAGGAGGACAGGGGATACAAAAAGGAAGACCACTGGTTAAAAAACAACTTATTTAAAAACTACTACACAGAGAAAATGTAATTCCACAGAGACGGGCAGTGTGACTGACACCTGTCAGGCGGATGATAAATGACTCCATTTTCTGCCTGTGCTGCCTTCTGCCACTGGCGGCAGTGGCCATTTATCATCATCTGCTGTCAGCCGTGGAAAGCAGCAGTGACAGTGCGAGTCAGCAAACATTTAGCACACGCAGCCGCACTACACGGGGAAATTATTATTGTCAGAATAATAATGGTTTAGCATAATTTATTACAGGTCCACCAAATAAGCAGGGGCTAGATGTTATTAGACAGATGGATGGGAAGGCTTGGCAGACATCCACTGAGGCTCATGCAGGCAAGAGCCCTCAACGTGAACGTGAGGAGGAGGGGGTGGAGGGAACAAACGGGGGTATGGCGGGGGGGGGGCATTCTCCAAACCAATCAGAGAGCTGGCAGTTCAATTACAAAGAAATAAAGGGACATTCATCATTCAATTAGGCACCTGTCAGGGCTCACAAAGGAAGAAAACTTCTAACCTGGTACTCCAGGGAGAAGATGCTCAGAAGAGTGGACTGCGAGTGACTGGAACAAATAAAAGAAGGACAAAGTTAATTACCAGAGTGCATTGCAGAGACAAAGGGAGAGGGGGAGCTTCAAAGCTGGGGCCAGCTGCCCTGTAATCTAAAAGAACATGAAAACAAGTGTGGCAAAGTTGTTCCAGATGAACACCTCTGACAAAGGATTCCTGCCACGATGGCGTAGGGGTGGAAGACAGGGGGAGGTTATGCGTGGTATGAGAGATGAGAAAAATATACCCTGTTATTTTTCCCTTTCACTCATTCACACATACCATCTTCTTCCATCCCTTTTATCTACAGTAAGAGTGCTGGAAATAAATTGTTCAACATTGAAGTGCAGTTATTGCACTCATAAAGAACATACCCAAACCAAACATAACAATGTTGAAGCAAAAGTAATGACATTCATGCAGATAAAGGACAGGATGTGCCGAGAGAAACCCAGCATTCACTGGCAATAACACTCTGTGGTTTGGTAGATGTCTCTTTGCAAAAGGAGTTGACCACTGTGAGATTGTGTATCTATGTGTGTGATTGGTGTAGCAATGCACAGATAGAAGAAACTTTTCTTGCTTCACTGTCAGAGCTGGCATATGGGCCTCTCTGGAGCCGTCCCACTGCAACTGATGGGCTTTGAAAATGGAAACTTTCACTGCAGGAAGCTTGGACTCCCAGGAGTCAGTGGATTCTATGGGATGCCATAAGTTACATTCATCTCCAGCTCTAGTCAATGTCAAACACCTGGCAGAGAGAGAAACCTGGAAAACAGGCAGCTCCAACAGGGACTCACAGCCCCTTCAATACTCCTCTCCCACCCCCACAGGCTCCTTTGGGTTGGGGATATTTAAAGTGGTGACAGATATTATTCTAATTGGATGATACATACCTCCACGTGCATATCAATGGGAAGAACACTTGAACGCAGCACACACACATGGACATAAACAAACTGCTATGTGATGGTCTCCAGTGGTTTCCATATACTGCTCTCAGTACACTTGATTGTTAAATTTAATGGACTTTTGGTTACAAGTCACCTGAGAGTGGTATGTAAATACTGAGGAGAGGCTGAAGCTTCCTTTCTGCATTAAACTATTGAGTCCACATAGGCCTTCAACATCAATCACTATAAACCATGAAATAACCATGTGACATGTAAACAAAGCCAAAGGAATCTCGAACATTGATTTCTGTCTGGAGTCTCCGTCTGCGGCCATTTTTAATAAAAGCATTTTAACCACAGGAATAGTTTAGCCGTTAATAATGGCTTACCCATGGGCTTACCCCACCAAACACGTCCTATTGGGTTCTTCAGACGCCAGTTTTTAAGTTGTACTACCCGGAGAACAGCTAATTTGTGACTATACAAACTCTCTGGGGCTCGACCCATCACAGATGAGTCTTATCAACCACAAAGTTACAGTTACAATATGTGAATGAAAAAGAGTTTGAAGTGAAGGAGAAGAAGGGGAAACTCTCAGAAAACACTGCCACCTCAGCATTAATGTACAATGATGCTCGGGGATGAAGGGGCCACTGCAATTAAGTGGGCCATTAAATGGTCAACTGTCAACATGTGGACACTTAAGGGAAGAAAAAAAAAATTCTTCCACACTTCAACCATGCACCTGAGCATTTCAACAACATTACGGCCTTATTGTTGGCATGGGACCATCACGATCCCCCTGTTGGAACAGACATCTGTTAGGTTTTAAATGGATTACTCTCTATAATGAGCATGATTACAGCCTAATTGCTAAATCTATACCCTGTTAACTTTAAAAGGGACATAAACTGCTCTAAATATCTGGGAAAACATATCCATTTCAAAAACACAATTTCTGCTTCACCTATAGCAGTTGTTGCTGATATGGAAAATGGATAAAAGCTTCACAAATGCTGAAACTAACTTGAGTGTTGAAACAAGACCAAGTATTGTACGATTTCCAAGAAAAAGAGAGCGATGTAAAAGAGATGAGGGCAGACACCTGGATCCAAACCAAGACGATCTGCATTTTATAGAGTCGGTCATATTTTACACTGTGCTCATATTGTATAGTGCCCTTTTTCCATTTAACAGACATGAATAGTAAGTTATTGCAGACTTTGCATTAATGTATATCCAATCTGTGCTCTCCTGGGCACAGTAAGCTCTATTCATGCTAACATATAGTGCTAAGTGAAGTCTTACAATGGGGATCTGATCTGCCTGCTGCACAGTAGCACGGTTATACATAAACTACCTTACCTCATAATACTTGATTCTGAGAGACATGGTCTGATACAAAACCTATTCCAAAACCTGATTTATTTCTCACTGCCTTTTTTTGTTTTAAACAAAGCATTTTATTCATATGTATGCACATTATGAGCACAGAAGAATGATTATTGCATGTTATGCTTTTTAATGCTGTGATACAACATAAAGATAAAGTAGTATTTTGTTTGCATGTCAAAACATTATTGTTAAATGACAGAACTTTCTTCTAGGGTTAATCCCAAAATCCCCCCCGGCTATGACAACTTTGGAATCCTAGATTATAACATCTGCACATTGAAAAATCTTAGTGTTTTTATAATAACTAATTCATCAATCTATATCATACTTTTTGAATTAGATAGATGTTTGACTGTTTGATTTTAAAACAGTGTTTAATTATTTAAATGTATTAAAAGGAAAAGGAACATTTTCAAACCACTACAAATACACTACAAAAAGAGTCTGTGCAATGCAGCACATCTGAACACTGACCTTTATGAGAGAAGAAAAATAAAAATCCCTCCCTCTTGGATCTAATTTAGAACATGGGGAAACAGAAGGTTGGGAGACAGAAGAGTGGTTAGGGAATCATTCACTCTCAACCTAATTACCCTTCCTTACAACATAAGACAGAGCATTAATATGCACTGGCACCCAAAATAGTAAAGCAGCAGATTAAATTAAAAACAATTAGGGACTTTCACTTTGTCACTGAGCTGGTATGCTTGTCTGGTCAGTGCTTTAAGCTCTATTAAGTTAGGCTATCCACTGGTTATGAATCTGACAAATTCATATTTGAGTGTTGAATTGCCTTGACTCCTCATGCGTTCAAAGTGCATCAGTGTCTTAAGCTTACATGGAAGAAAACAGTTGCAAAAAGCCTAGAAATTCCCTACAACCTAATTAATAGGAGATGAGGGAATTCAAGCTATCCATTATATTCAGAATCTTCCTATTTACAAATAATTAATTATAAACAATAGCTGTAATTTAGGTAATGAAAGCCACCTGGCTAATGGCATTGGCATCATATGCTGCGACAGTATTTAGCATTTGGTGGATCTGCATGCAGTGAGTGTTGCATGGGGAGACTCTTCAGGGCATGGAGCTGGCTAATTAAGGCATAGCACATATTTTTCCTAATGGACGATGAAGCTGCTTTTTTGTAAAACCGAATGACATGGATAAAATGATTCACTCTTAGAAATTGTATGGAAATATTGCGCAGTTTTAATACCTTGTTGTTATATAAACACCTTGTAAATTACTTTATTAGCTAATGCTTCCCTAGCAAAGTTAGGATTTATATCTCACCTAGATCTCATTTCATTAATGCGGGATCGCTGACAATAATATATTACGCATTTATTTTCCTATAGATCAATATTTTATAAAGTGAAAAACAGCTGAATGTGGGTAAAACACTCTGGATATGCAAATGCTGCTAATTACACATGCTGATATGCAAAATGCTAACATCTGTTTCTCCATCATCAGCAGCAAAACAAATGTGTACCAAAAAAATATTTACGCGTTAATGTATAAATGTGATATATTTTGACAAGAGATAGAAACAAACACAAATCTCAGTGTGTCACACAGCTTCGTACAAATACTTGCACAATGAGCGCACGTGTTTGCAGTTCAAATTAGTTTTACTTTTACCCCCGTGAAAAACAACTGTAAAGCCTTCTTCCTATTACAGAAAACACATTAACAATCATGTATAGTATTTACTGTAATTGCAGTTATATTGTTATATGTTCTTGTTAGTTCAACAGATCTAACAGAGATCAACAGATCCACTATATTCTTAAGTTTTTTCTATAAATGAAGAAAAATGCCCTGAAAGCCTGAGTACATTCCACTACGCTTACTTATATTGCCCCCCCTCCCAGCTCTCTGCAGAATACAGACTTACAAGCCCGAGGGGGACTATGGACAGAAATGGCTCCAGTAGCACAACAGGACATCACACTGTCTACAATTGTCCTAATAGATGACAAATATGACCCCTACAGAGGCCTATTCACTTTATTACAATCTGTAACATTTCTGTCTGCTGAGGTGCACGTCAGAACTGTTAAATAATGGTGGCAAAAAGAGCAAGAAATATAACAATCACATCCCTAATTGTGATTCCTCCTGAAAGCTGGGGATCTTCGTGGCTCTGTGTGTGACAAAACATGTTAGAACTATTATGATGCGTTGCCTTTGCTATCGTGTAATTATTGTCATCGCTGCTTCTGCAAATTCTCGTAGAAATTGAAAATGAGGTCCATGTTATCCGTCAAGTGGCGAGCGTCCACTGGTCTGACAAAGAAACACATTATACTGACCAATTGCCTACTCCCCCAAGCGTGGCTGGGGAACTTGTACCATTCTGAGCAATTTGTTTCATTCTTCTTTTGCAATTGAACCTAGTATGCAAAGAGAACCTGAGGCAAGAGACTCCACCATGGCTGCCCAGCTGAACTGCGCTGCTCTATGCTGTAGGTTTTCCTCTGAGTGTATCTGGCTCTGGGGCTTGAGGGACGACACTGTTTCTACCGCTATGTACAGTGATTTGTTGGTATTGCTCACCATAGCTGATATTTCTGAGTTGATAATTGGCCTCTATATTAAGACCTTATTTCATATAGTATTTTTAGCCCAATGAGCCGAAAAGGCGTGTGCTTGGACGATGTCTTGAAGATATGAAGAGGAAGTAGTCCTTCCTTTGCTTCCTAATCAAGTAATTGACTCCATATTTTATTCATGAACTCCTTAGCTTGACATGAAGTTGTAAACTCAGCACAACTTCTCTTCTTTCTCCATCCCTCCTCTCTGCTTACACTTCATTCATCCCTTCACCCTTCCGAAGCTCATCTAACCACATAAAGCTGTGGAATTAGTTTGCCAGCCTCTCAGCTTTCAAGGGTTGTACCCCAAAGCCACAACTGCCAGTTTGTGTTTTGTTCAATATGGCGGACCAGAAGTGTGAGGCCGTGCACCGGGGGCCGCCTCAGCTGCCCCCACAGGCTCTACACTAGATCAGTCTCTGGGTAATGTCATTGCCACTTCCAGGCTACAAAAAAGCTCTTGTAGTTTACCTTCATGAGAGCTACAACAGAGCAACTCATTTGATTCCACAGAGACAACAGGGGAGTTCTCAGCTAAATGTAGAAACACTCCGACTGGGACACTTTAGAAATGCTATATTAATACTTTGGCAGTATGAATATACATCTTTAGATCCCATTTCACGTATACAATGACATGTGTTTACCTCTAAATACGTCATTCGTCAACATTAAGTAAAGGTGTTTGAACTGATAATATAAAATGTAAATGTACAGGTTTTAAATTGGACCAATATAACAATAAAATGATTGATATAGATATTGTATTTAGATTTAGTTTGAAAAAGGATAATGTAGTTTCTGATATGCAAGAAAATTATATAACTTTATAATTAATTTATATAGCAAAGGAAGTGAAGTACTTAAAGCAGCTAAACAATTTTGCAAAAATATTGCTGCATTGATTTTGCAAGAGAGCCTAAAAAACAATGATGATCCGTCAGGTATTTTGTTTAGTTCTATGAAAAAAATCATTATATATATATATATATATATATATATATAAAAAGAGCTTGCCAGTTTAATGCATCGTGCCTGTTATAAAATCCTTAGCTTTAGTCGGCATGTAAATAAAGAAATAAACACTACAGCAACGATAAATAATCAATGAGCAAGTCCCCAAGCTTCGTCCTGAGCCTAGATATTACCATCAAAAACAAAGTGTGTGTTGCCAAGAAATCACCATATCAATGGCACATGCCACAACAACCCTGTCCCGCGTTTTCCTTTCAAAGATCATGCTAGATAAACCCCAAATAACAGAGAAATTAACAAATGCTTGACATTTGCTCAACATCCATTATTCTGACACTTCTTCAGAATTTCAAAAGGCTGAACGCATGCTTAATCAACATTCATATTCCCAGAGCGAGCCCCAGCACCATATTGCAGCCCGCCTCAGTGCTGATGAAAACGGCACATTAGGGCCCGATTCGAAAAACGTTCAGGGACTCCTCACCAGGGAGCTGTGCAAGTGTGTGTGTGTGTGTGTGTGTGTGTGTGTGTGTGTGTGTGTGTGTGTGTGTGTGTGTGAGAGAGTAAAAAGAGAGAGAGAGAGGCAGTGGCTGTGTTTAGAGGGGAGGGATGCTTCACACTTAACTTTTTAAGCATTTTAAAAATCAGAGGCATCTGCCCCTTTCTGCACACCCTCCCACCCTCATGACTGTGAAAGCCATATGAGGAGTGAGCCGAATGACATTTTAAAGAGGGGGGTAATCATTACATCCAAATTCATTCATAATACAGCACAGAAGGACACAGAGGACTCTCATTCCCTCCCTCTTTTTCTCGCCCTTCTTACACAGACTCTCTCTGGGGACAAAGGGTGGAAGGACTGGGGTCCCCTCTAGACCCCAAGGGAAGCCAGGCAAGGCCTTAGAGAGCAGCCCATCATTTCCAATTCTAATATGTGGCAAGAGAAGAACCTGATGGGACTGATGTCACATTTTCCCCCAAACAGACCTACGATGAGCCCTCCCAACCCCCCCCCCCCCCTCGCTGCCAAGCCGCAGTCCAGATACTAGGCAGGGCACCACGGCTGGCTAAAAAGGAGGGCAAGGAAGAGAGGGCAGGAATGGGGGTTGATATTTGCATGTCCCTCCATTGTGAGTGGGGGTAAAAAGTGACAGCACCGTGTCCAATTCTTTTCCCCCCAGAGCAGCTCGGGGCCCGGCAAGAGAGGCCAGGCTGACAGATGACTCCCAACATCTGTGTTATGCAGCCGTTACAGATGAGGGACTCCACATCACAATCTCCCTCTTTCTGTCTGTCTATGGGACACTCCCTCTCTCCTCCCACTACCCATACTCTTAGTACAACTGAAAGACTGACAGACTTTCCATGGAAATTACCTTGAAATGGCCTTTAACAATCTTTTTGTTCAAAGTTAAAATGTTCCTCCCTTTAAGTCCAAAATTAATGGCAATGATTATGAAATGGTTTTGAACACAATGCAGCATTCAGATGTTTGAGGATCATGGCCATTCATACTACATACTCATCAATGGAAGTTAATGTTGCTTTTTTTTTTTTTAATAGACTAATACATATTATTTAATAGCTAATAAAATATTATTAGAATTATGAAAATTAGTGATCGCTAAACAATGTCATTCATGATTGTTGACTGTTGCTATTTCAAAAGTTAACTTAAAAATACAATAAATTATATTTTATGTTATAATTAGCACTTAACAAACAATAAGTGTGTCTTCGAGCCCCCGAGGAAACTACTACAGGCTCTTTCATGACGCTGGTAGCTAACACATAAATCTGCACTTCACTCAACATAGCTATCATTTGGAAATCGACCCAGTGCGATGTGAAATTATTTGATATTCAGGTACCTGTCTTTTTTATCTCTCCGAGCATTATAGTCAGAGATAGAGTGCAGGCTTGTCCACAACAAACCCCTAACCCCCCTACAACCCTCCTCCTGCCAGCCCCAGCCTGGCCAATATTTACGCAGTGGCAGGGCTCCCACACAGTCCGAGGGGACAGGAGGGGTGTGGGGCGGGGGTGGCTGACTGCCGTGCCTGAGCACATGCTAAGAGATGATGGATGGCCTAGTCGATATGTTATGTCTTAAGAGCCTGATTTCCTGCCAGTCCAATCACTAACCCTCCAGAGCCCAGCTCAGCTGATTGGACAACCAGAATAATTTTGCAGGCTGTGAAAACACTGCTGGCGTGCCTGTCTGTCAGGCCCAGTGACGAGACTCAGGGATTTTAAAGAGCAGGAGTCTCCCCAAGACTGGTTATGGTGAATGAAATAATAACAATAACCAGCGAGACTAAACAAAAGAGCCAGCTCCTCCGGAAAGAGAGATCGTGCTGAATTATTGGAATGAAAACGCTCCAATGTTTTTCTTTAATTATTGCACCCACCAGTTCCACTTTATGAAAAACTGGTATTTGGACTGCTTGTTAAAGCCAGTTTGGATAAGAAAACCGAAAGGTAAAAGGAAACTCAAAATAAACATGAGAAGGAGCTCCTAGTGGTGGTGCCTAAACATACAGGATATTGAATGAACTTTATACGCATGACATATTCCGTAAAATGCTGACAGTGAGAATAAAGGCAAGATCAAGCTCTGCTGTGTCTCCTTTGGGGATCTGATACCTTCTTCTAGATTGGTGATTAGGGCACAATGGAAGTAGGAAGCTCCAAATACATACGACTTTGTAAGTGACCTCGAAGGGATCAGCCATGGTGTCCTGGTGGCCTTGGGGGATTACACATGTTAGGTTCAATAAAGTGAGGGCCCTCAGTGTCAAGGAGAAAGGCAAACACAACCATTAACCTCTCTCTTCGATTTCTGGAAGTGAAGGCGCTGCATGGCAAAACATTGGCTAATGCTGTGGTGGAAGCCTATAGAGAAAACTGTGTAGAATTAATTAGTGGTCATAAGGGGTGGATTAAATGGGGTTATACATATTTAACAGGAGATTAAAAAAAAAGAGACAGAGGAATAAATGATGGTATTATTGGGAGTCGCTAGATGTTAAAGTCCTCACTCAGTATTTCAATTTCAATTATTATCTAAACATTATTTTGGGCAATTTCGGACACTATTCATTGATGTACATTATAGAAAGTATGTTAAAAACACAAAACATTTACACATGTGAGGAAGCTCAAAGAGTTCAGCGCAGTGGTGGAATGTAAGTATAATTACTCAAGTAATGTATTTAAGTACAAGTTTGAGGTACTTTCACATTATTTGAGTGTTAAAATGATATGCTACATTTGACTTCCACTCCATTACATTTTTAGTGGCAATATTTAGCTTTTTACTTCACTTCCTTTATCTGACAGCTTCAATAACTTTGAAGAGTCAGATTATGAATGTAAAAAATATATAAATCAACTAATAAATAATATTTGTTATAGGTTAAGCTACCCAGCAGTATATTAAGTAATTCAAATTAACCCCACCCTTTACCAGCTGCAACATTAAAGTGATAAATGCACCAATAATTATAGTCCAATAATATATTATTCTGAAATGGGGCATTCTGCATGATGAGTTATTTAACTTTTGGTATACTTCTTTGTTTTGTGCTTTTACTTGAGTAGGGGTTAGGAATTCATGCATGCTATTTATAACAGTGTATTGATACATTACTTCAGAAACCGGGCCACTTACTTTGGAAATCTTTCTTTCAGAATCTTCATACATTGACGGGTGGGTCTCAGCTGATCAGTCCATCTAACAATCTCCTTATATTCAGCTCGGGACAGCTTCATCTTCTTTGATTCGTATGACTTTGACTGTATTTATCTGTAAAACACATAGTGAGAGTTTGATTACCGGATGGTAATAGCAATATGATTTAGAAAGGGAAACGACGACAGGTGACTGGCAGCTGTCAAAAACAGCTGTACCTGCACTGCTAACCAAACATAGCTTTATGTTATGACTGGCGCTACAGACGAAAAAACAACAACCCTACATAAAACATTTCCTCACATCTAAAGACTGCTGGATGCCAATCCATGCAACACATTGTAAAAGATGATCTTGGTTAATAAAAGTGTGTGTAAAAGGGTTGTTTACCAGCGATTCCAGCAGCCTGTTCACACTTCCCGATAGCAGCTTCCCGCTAGGAAGTTGAAGAGATGACTTTTGTGTGAAGAGCCCTATGATTGGTCGATGCATCTGCGGAGCTGAGTATACCAGCATGTGATTGGTTGGTTGGTAGCACGTAGGCGGAGTTCTGCTAAAACATGCTGCTGCTGCTGCTGCTCTGTTACTGCAGCTACGATTCTCCCCAAATGCAAGCAATACAAAGGCAGGTACTTGAAATATTTCGCCATAGTTACTCCTGCAAACTCGTTGACTGCTTTCCAGTCTCACAGGACAAAATAAATGGAAATTCATGAAAATGCACCGACGTTGGTGGAATTTTTAGAAAGCGAGTGAAAGTTAAACAATTAGATGAACATAGGTGATCAGGGAGCACCTCGTTGAATGATTACATAGTATTGTTGAAATATTGACAACAATTTAAGTGCCAATAATTTAAGTTTAGAGCTAGTATTTTTCTGTTTTTGCATAGGCTACAGTTGGTTTTACTGATATGTTCAAAGACAGACACAAAATGGGCAGCCTACAGCCTGCTTTGGGCCTAACTCAACTTCAGTGTATGCTAATTATAATTCTGCCTCTTTTGTAAATATTTAAACAATTGTAAATCCAGACAGAAATTGCCTGTTAAAACAAAGTATAATCATTAATGTAATGTTATTGTGTTTCAGTTCCTAAATGCATTTACCATTTCTGATAAAAAAACATTTGTTTCAGAATCAGTGTTGTGGTAGGATTTTCTTTAAAATAAAGTCTGCCAAATTCCACTGCAAGGACACGTCATTCATGTGTATATATTGTAGGTAGTTATTTGACTGTTTAGAGAATATTGGTCTGGTCTTTTCTTAATTATTTCCTTCATTCTGCAGGAATGTCTGTGGACCATCCCCAGCTGTGGGTCCCCAGAATCATCAACACCTTTCACCTCACCAAGGTAGTGCTTTAAATGCCCCTGGGAGAAATATGTAAATCAGGCCAAGGGTGATGATGGAGAGTACTGTAGAAAGAAATTGTAAAACATACAAGAACAATGTTTTATATAAAATATAACTGTTTGCTTTGCTGATGGTTGTAACATTTGTAATTTCAAAATTGCTGGTATTTTAATGGAAATAGCTATTCAACAAAGGCAAGCTGAAATGTGAAGAAAGATGGTCAATAGTCAATTAATGATTCATTTTGTTTCCTTTTTTCCCTCTGAACCATATGATTGCTTCTGTCTGGAGTGTTGATTTTACCATACTTAGATAGGACTAAAATCTTTAAGACCTAATTTGTCAAATACATCCCTTGAGATCAATATCATTTTACAATGGCATTGTTGTGTAATTAGTCTCTGAACAGTGCTAAACCTCAGTCTACCCTAATAGATTTTCTCTTTAACATTCTCTCTTTGCAGATGAATGCAGAAAAGTCTCAGAGTAATTTATGGTGAGTTTTTAATTTCTCTTAATTTTGTATTCTCAATACAAAAATTATGACAAATTAGCCTTAAAATGTGAAAAATATCAACTTCATTTGGCATCATTGTCCGCTAGCCTGTGACTACATCAAACCTTTCTGTAAGTAAAACATTCTTTGACAACAACATTTGCTGGTCTTCTCCATTGTGAGTGAACAATGCATCGGTGAGCAGAAAGGCTCTACCTGACCTGTGGTGCATCAGAAAATAGAGCTCATTGTTGTTGGGCAGTGTTGTATGATGTCTGAGATGAGCTGAGGTCTCGGGCTGTGTGTTCACCGGCACAGTCCCTGGATCTGAAAGGGCTCAGTGCTCTGGTGGCTACAAAAGGGAGCTGTGTAGTGGGATTGGTATGGCCAGATAAGATCAGGGCCTCTGAGGAAGTCTGGTCTGATTGCTACAAAGGGCTGAGGTCAGGGGCAGGAGGAGCAGTTTACTCATCTAAGTATCAGAGGATCAGGGGGTTTGATGGGGAGCCGCGTGTGTAATAGGTATAAAAGGATCAGTGTAATGTGATGGTATAAAAAGATAAAAAATCAGAGAAAGGGTTGGAAGGCAGTGTACTGTAATGGCCCCAAAAGCAAAGGGATCAGAGATTTTGTTGTGTGTAGGTGTCTACTTGTGTGTGTTTGTACTCCTGTGTGCACGCACACAAACACCCTTGCATTGGATCAGTTTGTGTGCATCTTTGATGGCTATGAGAGTCACAGTGGGCTGTGATGAGCTGAAGGAGAGCACGAGCGATGGAAGGGATACAGGGAAAGAATGCAGGGGGAAAGACGAGTGCTTTGGAGGCTGTGTGTAAACAGGGCAGTGGTACACACAGTGCCGTTAACCAGCTGTGAAGCTAGCTCACAGTGGGAGATGAATTTACAAAGGATGTCTCCCTCTGATATCCAGGAGATGCTGCACTGATCTCTGCTCCACTGCTCTCGGCACACCATTGTAGTGCTAAGCACTGTGCCACTAATGGCACTTATATACCTTAATGCCTGGGAAACATTTACATTTTGCTTGCAGCAGAAGGAAAGTGTGTGTGTGTGTGTAAGTGTGTCTGTGTGTCTGTGTGTGAGAAATTGCTTTTTATCGACAACATCTTCAGCCGATGAATGTACGATTTTTGAGGTTGTGTAATTTCCTTTACTCATCATACAGTTTAAGGAAATTGCTAGCCCTTCCATGTCTCTCACATTAGTCCCTCCTTACCATATCCACTGATATTACTCACCATACACAGAGAGCGTTTTGTTACACTAGATCGTCAGCATTACTGTCATAATGTTTCTTTTTTTCCATTTGTGAAGTCAGTGACTTCACTCCTCTGCACTACAGAATTGCTCTCCAATCTTCAGGGAGTCTGGGATCTCAGCTCTAAAAATCACAGTTTAAACACGAGGCAAGCCATAACCAGGAAATGCCTGTAGTATTAGCAAGGTATCGGATTCATGCTTTCCCCCCTGAACAGCATGACTGCCCCTGCAAATCCCACATCCATATTTTACATCACGGGAGACAAGACACATGTGTTTCACCCTAGCTTTCAAAGCTGTTCCTTCCATTTATTTTATTATCCTTTTAATGAATTTAATTACAGGACATGTAATTAAATGCAATTGTGCTCACCCCCACAACACACACAAACACACACTCTCATGCCGACACACATGCACACATTTGGCAGTAAATTGCTCAAACAACATGTGCGATGAGAACAAATTTACTGGATTAACAGGGGATTGATAATATTTTTGGATTGTATTTCACTCTAAACGGCTGCACGCGGAAACAAAGGCTGAAGCCCAGGCTCATTAATCATAGTCAACGGGTTGCCTGGGTGCAATTTGCATGTCCGAGGTGGCTGCACATGCTGCCTTTCGGCCTAGGTTGCTGGATCTGCCTCGATTTGGCCAGACTGTTAACATTGCGTCAATCAAGGATAACCCAGACAGAGGAAGAGGGATAAAAAACATTTTCTCCTCATTACCCAACGCTCCTTTCCCTGTCTTCCCAACCTATTTGAGTAAGCACTAATTACACTGGCAAGAGGAAAAAATGAATAATTCAGTTGTATTTATTACTCAAATTATTCTTATTTGTTTTTTAAAACATAAATGTGTTAAAAATACTCTTAAATGTATAATTTAAGCATATTGATACACTTTAACATATAATAACTAATTCAAATGTGTTATATTTGGTTTGAATGATACATCAAATAAAAGACTAGCCTTTTAGCCTTATAGACCATTTTTTAGAGAATAATCATTTTTATCTTTAAAGAAAAGTTTTTTGGTTCGTCTTTATTTTTTTATCAGTCACAGTTTGGAGCCACACTAAGCCATTTTCGCTGCAGATAATTGGGTTGAGGCATGATGCAAGTTCAAAATGAGGCACAATTTCACAAAGCTGTAATCTCACCAGTGGCTCAATACACTGAATTCTAATTATCTCGTCATGAACTTTAAAAAAGAGGTAATTTTGTAATGGCTTTTTAACACCATACGAGGTGTGTGTGCATGCATGCATGTGTGTATGTGCATGAGATAGAAGTTGACACACGTATGCATGCGTGTGTGGGTTTGTGTGTGTCAGGCACGCACACACAGACACCCACCGTCACCACACACAGACATGTGAATGCGGCTTGTGTCTGGTGTAGCCTCTCTACCTAGCTCTGCTGCCGAGGCTCACGCTGTGCTCTCCCCCATCCCCTAATATCCTGGAGGCATTTTTCTCATTATCAAATATTGTTTGATGTCTTTGTTTCTTGATGATTAACCATGGTCACCAAACACTGGTCTGGATTGTTTAAAATTTAATTTTGGGGCTCTGAAGTACCTGCAGAGGGGCTGACTGGTGGGGACACACATATTTTATGTGTGCTATTTCTCATGCTGAAATGCAAGAGGACACACATTGAAAAACACAATAAATTCTGGAGGAGAATCATTAGTGGAATACTCGTGGTTTTTATGACCATTGTTATTCAACGCTGTATTGAGATGCAGTAAATTATTCTGTTTATTATGGCTTTATGGATGCAGTCCCATTTTCAGAATAATTATGTTGTCCCTCATTCTGCATAATAAAACTCCTCTCCTCACACTTTTTGTGTGTTTAAATATACATGTAAATGCTACATATATACACAGTAAATATTTATTTTTCACAGTACCAATTTATATATTTTTTTCAAAATGATCATTATTTGTGCATCTTTTGGATCTTATTTGTGTTTTGATTGTTCTGTCCATGTATATATTTCTGTGGTAATTTGAACATTATGAAGACAAACGTTGCCTTAGCAATCTAAGATTTATGACGGAATCGACATTGTAAGCAAACAAATAGGGAAACAACAATCTCCCCTAATGTCAGCATGTCAAAACTATATTGAATACTTGAAATATCTGTGTATCTGAGGCTGAATAGCAGCCATTGTATCGGTCTAATGATATTATCTTCTGAAATCTGGAGTGAAAGAAAAATGGCAGAAATGAGCGGTACCATTGTCTGCCCCATTTTATTTAAACAAATTGCAAGAGCAGAGAGACACAGGCTGAGGGAAAGAGCAAGCCAGG